TATCTGGTTGTAAGACTCCAACGGCAAATTTGTGGCGGGTTGTGGGATTAAAATGGATAATGCATTCTCTTTGCTACAAGTTTGTGGCGGGTTATGGTGTTAAAGTGGATAATGTATTCTCTGCGTCATAAGTTGAGACTTTGACTGCAATAACATGTACAATATTGGCGATGGAAACGGCGGGTTTGAAAGTGATGCTTTCTAGGTCACTTGGTAAGGTATTACTCATATTCGTCATACTGACAATCCTGATTTTATTTTATTTTCGATGTATTGCATGAGGATTGTAATTCATGATTAGAAGGAGTGTATTCAATTAGGATTGGATACGATTTTGAAAGATTTTTTTTTAAGTGACAGATTTCATGGAATTGTATAACTCATATAGGTTTTACTGGGATTTTAAATAAACTTGTATAGGCTTTTATTATAGACTTCCATACTTTTGTATGAACTTTTGTTATAGATTCAGATATATTTGAATAGACTTCCCAATACTATTTTCTTTTATCACTCTTTCTTCCCAATACTATTTTCTTTAAACTATCTTGACCTAGCCACTAGTCAACCATCCCTTTTTTTTTCTTTTCCAAATTCTCCGTCTACTTGTATGCACAACAATGAATTTTCCTTTGAAATTTCCATGAGTTAGAAACTTTCATACCTAAACAATGAATTTCTCTTCGAAATTTCCACGAGTTGGAAACTTTCATACCTAAACAATGAATTTCCCTTTGAAACTTCCACGAGTTGAAAATTTCCCTTTGATTTTATTCATGAACAACAAACTCTTGGTCCAAAAATTCAATTTTTTTTAATAAAAAAAAACCCTTTTTTCCAAAAAGCTTGGGCCCTATCATCTAGTAGTGTTATGGGTGATGAAAATATATCTCAACCTTCCGCCGCCTTGACGTTGGCTTCACGCTGAGATGATCTCCAGGGGAACTTATCGGAGATCTAAAAATCTCTAGCCGAGCTTTCCTCCCAGCAACTCCAACTGGTTGATTTGAAGAAATCACTAATGGAGGAGCTTTGCTTAATACAGGACGCTTGTAACCACCCAAGGTCAGTGCATGGCTTAGTGCATTGTTTGCCAAACGATGGAAAAATTTCTAACACAAAGAGAAAAAAAAACACATCATATGAAATCTTTGGGGTGGAGGTTGGACTTCTGTTGGCCTTTATTATTTGAATAATGATACTCTTACCACATTCTCATACCACCTTATGTGGCAGATAAGGTGGACAACACATCAATTAAAATTAATTTAAAGTTTTCTTATCTTTTATGATTTATTGACACTTTTTAATTGATGTGATTGTCTACTTCATCTGCCACATAAGGTGATATGAAAATGTGGGATATAAATGTGGTAAGTGTAGCATTACTCTTATTATTTATACCTAAACCCTACAAATTCTCCAAACTCCAACACTTAATTAAATCCTTCCAAGTCTATCTCCTTTTGAATACAGGTAAATTTATTTGGACTTTTTCCAAGTCCAAATTGAATACACCCACATTTAGATGGACATTTTGAAAAATCAAACAAGTCTAAATTGAATACACCCAAACTGTTATAAACTTTTTAAAAGTTGGTATAAATTGAAATTGAATATACCCAGATTTTTAAAATCTTTTTAAACGCTCTAGAATCCTAATTTAATACACCCCTTAAGAAACTGTCCTTGGCCCTTAATATGAAATCAAACTTGTTGTACTAATTGTTTCACATCAATAATATTTTATAGCCTATCATAAAAAAACAAAAGATAAGGTATATATATGTAATTTTTTTTTCCCAATAATATGAATGATGGTTGGGTGTCAATATCAATTATTGTTATAGGTCCTTGTTGAGCTATTATAGGTCCTCTATTGCTTTTGAAAGAGCAAAAAAAAATTATTACAAGGGAAAAACACATTAGAAAATCCTTTCGAATAAAAATATATACAATTTATTTTCTCCATTGCTTAGAAAACATTTATACTAAAATAAAAAGAAGAGTTTAAATCCTACTAGTAATTATGAAAATCCCTAGTATACCCTAGTGGACTGGACTGTAAATCCTAGTTGACTTGACTTTTGTTTTCGTCACCAACGCCTTGCTCTCTCTGCCTGAGCACGGCATTCGCTTTTTCCAACCTGTGATATTTACCAAACAGCACCTCCGTCTCTTCAAGGGTTCTTCCCCTGGTTTCGGGGAGCAACATATAAAAGAAGACCCAACTCAACGCACCAATCCCTGCGTAGAGAAAGAAGGCCCCACCAATCGTAATGGCCTTGTATAGTGAGAGAAAAGTCATGGATATGACGCCACTTGTTATCCTGTTAACGGCCACTCCCATACTAACTCCTTGCGCGCGTAGCTTCAACGGGAAGATCTCAGAGCTATAAACCCATGTTATGGGCCCCAACCCAATCGAGAAGAACGCAACGTTCAATAACACCATGGTGATGCACAATGCGATGGCCCACGGGACCGTGTCGCGGTGATGATCGATGATCGTGAGACCCACCCCGAGGCACACGAGCGAAAATATCATCCCAGCCACGCTGGACAAAAGCAACCGGCGCCGCCCTAACCGATCAAGAAAAAACGTGGCGACCAAGATGGCAATGGTCTTGACAAATCCAACGGCCACGGTTGCAAGGAGCTTGTGGTCGTAAGATTTGATCCCCGCCTTCTCGAAGATCCTGGGGCTGTACAGGACGACAGAGTCTATGCCCGAAGCTTGTTCGAAGAAGTGGATGCCGAGGGCTGCGGTCAAAATGTGGCGAACGGCTGGCGTCGGGTGCAAGATCAAGTCTTTCCATACGCCTTCACCATGGCTTTTCTCCGAGACCGGAACAACGTCGTCGTCTAGCTCTTTGGCGATGCCTGCGGCTTCTTTGATGTTGTCTAGCGTCAACTGAGCCTCTTCCTTGGAGGCTGAGGTTTTGTCGAGGACGCGCTTGGCGTCCCCAAGTCGCCCCTGCATGACGAGCCAACGCGGCGACTCTGGCACGGCTAAGACCCCGATGGCGAGAATAATGGCTGGAAGGGCGCCGATGCCGAGCATAAACCTCCAATAGAGGGGAGCTGGGAGCTTGGAGAAGGCGTAGTTGGAGACGTACCCCAATAATATGCCAATATTGACGAACACCTGTACATGTTTATCCAAATAAATCAAATAAATTAGTATAAATTCCACACCTATAAACCACAGAAAGTCATAAAACACTTGCCAAAAAACTCATACAACCACTTCCTACTTTTGTGAGGAAACAAGTGATGATTTCACAAGTGAGGAAACAAACACTTCCTACTTTTGTTTCACATGAAACCAGCTTAGTTTTGTTTCGGGCTCAAAAACAAAAACAAAAGGTAAATAAACAAATAAGGAAAGAAAACAAACCTCAGGGAAAGATGTGAGGAAGCCACGGGACAAAGTCGGAGCGATCTCGGCGGTGTAGACCGGAGAGATCATGAGACCGTAGCCAACACCTATTCCAGCAACGAACCGGCCGAACATAAGGAAGGCGTAGCCCGGGGCGAAGCCCATGAGGATAGCCCCGACGAAGAAGATGGCTCCGGAGAGGACGGCGGTGTACCGGCGCCCGATCCAATCGGAGGTTCTGCCGGCCAAGGCGGAGCCAATGACAGAGTAGATGTTCAATGTGCCGGTAAGTATTTGAATCTGGACGTCGTTGATTTTGAGGTCATCTTGGATGGAGAGGTTTGCCCCACTCATCACACCAATATCTGTAAACAAAAGTGACCACGCTCAGTTCATACACTCCAAAACCAACAATTTTTTCTTGCAAAAATTAAGATTAAAAAAAGTATGAGAAAACGATTTGGAGTGCTAATAGGATAATTACCGTAGCCCAGTAAAATTGATGGCGTGCAAGCCAAAAGGGAGCAGGCAATGGCGAATTTGTTTCTCTTGGGTTTCTGTGACGGATCAAAGACTTCCGCGATCGGGTCAGCCATCTCGATCTAGAGAGAGAGAGAGAGAGAGAGAGAGAGAAGTATCAGAGAGTGAGCAGCGACAGGGAGAGAGTGAGAGAGGAATAGAATATAATTCATTCAATATATAAGCAAACTCTTTCTTAAAGTAGTATAATTACAGATCAAGACAAAGCCATGAAAAATGCAATAGTAAGTCTTTCCTAAGACTAGGCATCAAGTGTGCTTGTGGCATATAATGAAGAAAGTTCCTGAAAAGTTGAAAAGTTACAAGAAATATGAGTCCATTAGACTTTTCTTGGATAACATTGTGTATGACTCATTGACTCGTTATGAATTTGAAGAGCGTTGGGTTGAGATGATTGCCAAATATGGGTTGCATAATAATGATTGCTTAACCAGCATATATGAAGAGAGACATCATTGGGTGCCAATATTTGTAAAAAATAATTTTTGGGCGGGAATGTCTACCACACAACGTAGTGAGAGTATGAATGCATTTTTTGATAGCTATGTAAACTCTAAGACTACTTTAAAACAATTTGTGGAGCAATATGAGAATGCATTGAGGACTAAGGTGGAAAAAGAGAAACACGAAGATTCAAAGGCTTTCACTGAAAGTTTTAACTATGCAACTGATTATGACATGGAAAAGCAAGCTCAAGATGTTTACTTAAAAGTGATAGTGAAATTATGGAGTACCATGTTATTTTCAATGTTTGGTTCAATGAACATAATAAGGAAGTGAATTGTAGTTGTTACAAGTTTGAGTTTAGAGGCATTTTATGCAGGCATGCGCTCTATGTTTTAATTCATCATGACATCGACTTTATTCTAGATAGATATATCATGCGAAGATGGAGGAAGGATGTGACAAGATGTCACACAGGAGTTAAAATAAATTATACTGATTGGGTTGCCACACCTGAAGCACAACGATCCGCTAAGATGCAGAAGAATTTTGATGACATTAAGGAATTAGCAAATGATTCTGATGATAAGTGCATGGTTGTCATGAACTGGTTGCATAACCTAAAGGAGGAAATATGCAAACACATGATGGAACTTGTAAAAGAACTGAGCCAAGTCCACAGTCGCCCATTGGTAAGAGCTTTGAGTCTTGTGTTAATGGCCTTCTGAATGCAAGTCAACATATACTTACTCCATTGCCAGTTAGAAGTAAAGACCGCCCACCATTTAAAAGGAGACAATCTAAGACTGAGCAAGTTATTAAAAAGAGACAACGAACGGGAAAAAAAACTAAATATCGTCAAGACAATACTGACGGAGGAACAGAGGTTAGCAAATAAAAGAGCTACAACTTATTTGTTTATATATATAAGTGATGTCTTTTGTCAAGATGTCTTACATATTTTACTTGAAATTTTTGTAGATACCTGCACAAAGTGATGTCTTTTGTCATACTAATGCTCCACCAATTTGTGAAAGTGATAACTTGGTTGGAACACAAGAGAGCAATAATGCTGTAATGGTATGACATAATTATATTATTGTTTGATAATTATTTTATTGTAATTAATTCTAATAATTGTTATTGTGTATTGTAGGACAATATGGCTTTGTTACTAGGGCTAGCTCACTCATGGTGGTCATTCAAATCAGTTGTACAAACGACCATTGACATGAAAGATAACATATCCTACAGTCCATGAAAATTATCTTCAGGTAACTTATCTTCATTAACACATTCTAACATAATGTTTTATTTATCATTCGCATGTCTCATTTATCCTTTGTCATATGTAGGGTGACCAAATTGGAATGGAGGTTCTAGTTTGTACAACCTAGCTCTAGTTCAAGAGGAAATGGTCACCAAGAACTCAAATGAAAATAGAAGCAAAAGTTAAAGGAATATCTTGTGGAATTTCGAAATTTTGAGGAATATCTTGTGGAATTTCGTATTGATATTGGCCACGATGCCAGTAAACGTGCAACTTTAATTAGTCTTCCTTTTGTTTTTATTGTTCTTTGCCCTATAGTCATCAACTTTTATTTTGTTTTGGTCAACCATCATGCTTTGATTAATTTGTCGAATCATAAACTAGATTCCCAGTTTAATCAAGAAAATTACTTTCGACCTTTTCTTTTTGTTGTTAGTTGATTCAAAAATGGAGACTTATAAATTAAATATAGATGCTAAAAAGATTAAATCAATATCTTCTTGAATAATATGCTTAGAGAATCCTCTTCTTCATTCTTGTAATTAGAAAATCAGATTAATTATATATATTTAAGTAGTCGATTTGCTTAGATTCACTTTTTTTTTTATAGAGAAAAACGATAATTGTTTTCATCCATTAGGTACAAAGATAATCAGTCACAAGGGTAAATACAAATGCTCACAAAGGGGTAATACAAATATGGAAACATAGTAACCACATAAGGTTAACCCAGATACAGGCAGGCCACAAAAGGTTAGAGAATGAATAAAAGCCACATGCATGAATAAACAAGACATCAATCACAGAGCCCAAATCTACCAATACAATTATAACTTTGGCTTAATATCACAAAACGTCCCTAAGGTTTACGAAACTATCAGATTGCATCCTTAATGCTTTTTTGTGTCATTTATGGATCTCAAGGTTAGTACGGTGCTCACAAATGATCCATGCAGTTAAGTTCCATAAAAAACTCCGTCAGTTTGCTGACGTGGCATATATATTTATCACAAAACATCCCTAAAGTTCACTCACCTATCACAAATGGTCCCTGCGAAATTTATTAAATTGTTTTTTAAAAAAGCAAACCAAAATTTTATGAATTTTAAAGGAAAAAAAAAAAATGCGGGGACCATTTATGATAGGTGTGTGAACCTCAGGGAATCTAATGGCAAGGACCATTTGTGAGGAGCGCATGTACTAACCTTGAGAACCACGAATGACCAAAAAAAATATATATTAAGGATGCAGTCTGATAGTTTTGTAAACCATAGGAACATTTCGTAATATTAAGCCTTATAACTTTTAACTCTCACAAGTACAAAATACAAGTAGAGACTAGAAAATTATCCAACACCCAACTCACAAGATAGATGCAATTATTACAAAATAAAAAAACTACAAACAAACAACCAAAAACCAACAAAGCCAATACCGCCGTTATTGCCACCGTATTGTTGCTGCTTAGATTCACTTCTTAATCTTCATATGTACTAGAGTCATAAATTAATATCTCACTCATGTATTCTTGCATTAATTAATAATCAAAACCTGAGAGAATAGTTTGTGCCTCTCTAGTATTATTGCAAGCTCGGTACTAGACAACTATGTAGTCAAAAAAATTCATCAGCTTTGTGAATGATGTTGTAGCGAGCACTTCTATAAGCGTTTATGTTAAAAGCACAATTCGATTCCAATAGATGAGGAGTCTTATTTGATTGAACCGTATAATAAGTTCCTTTTCTTTTGCCTCTCTATATTCCTCATGAATAATATAAAAAAATGATTAATTTGATTTTTATCGGAAAGAATCAACATAGCCAACATAGCCATAAACAATAAAGCTAGAGCCAATAATTTTTTTGTGAAATGACGAGACAATATTAATGTATGTGTCAATATATCACCTAATGGGAATAAGTGAGTCAAAAAGTGAGCGACGTAAATAATTGGGTGAACAATTATAGTGTCCAAATGGTTAAAAAGAAAAACAAAATGTTGTCCTTGTAGTGCTCTAAAACAGAATGGGGAAGATGAGGCAAACGAACATCAGTCCTTTCTTCTTTTTAAATTTCTTTGCACAAAGCACCGAACAGGTAAAATTCCATGGAAACCATAATGACAAAACATATATGGTTGCTTCCGGCAAGGGAAAGGAACAATTGAACAAAGCATATACCTTCCTGATCAATCTTTCTGCTCTCCACACATCTGCAGCTACGTGCCATCCATGCATCCAAAATCCCATTTCACAAATTGGAGAGAAAATCATTTAGAACACAAACGTTTGGGAAACATTTGACTCTCTCTCTCTCTCTCTCTCTCTCTCTCTCTCTCTCGTCAATTTTCAACCTAATTCATCATTGCTAGAAATCATCTTGGTGCATAGAATCAAGCAGAACTCAGGTTTTTCATAATAAGAAAATCTTAACAAATTTATAGAGCTGTTTGATCTCTAAGAATTGCCAAAATAGCTCTTAGATGATTCATAATCAAGCAGAACAGGTACTGAAGTAGCCTCAGATCAGCAATCATCAATCCAGTCACTTCCAGCCTTGTTCAGACTGAAGAGATCTCAATTCTGCCCATTCAGCAAGCCTCTCCATGGCTAAATTAGATTAAAACTCTGCCAATCTCAACATTGGTATCGATTTCCAGTTGAACCTCATTAGTTGAAGGTGCTGACATTTGAATCCAGCACAGATATATCCAGTCCAGCCAGAATCACAGGCAACAATCCAAGCAGAAATCGAAGCCCAATGTTCTGATGTCCTTTCAGACGTGGCAGTTCCCTTTTGTTTTAAATTGTGTAATACACAGTTCTCTTTAAAACAGTTTGATTTATTTTCAATATTCATTTTAGCCAGAACTACTAGTTTTTACTGTAAGAAATTGTGAAGTCATCACTAGCTTGAGGCAAGAAAATAACTTACTTGGGATATATTCCTTACTCAAATTCACAATCACTGTTTCAAGTCAGTAACTTGGGGCGCAAGTTATCTATTTTCCATAGTCTGTTAGGGTCTTGATTGCTAACATTGGCACGCTCGCACACCAAAGAAAGTTGACTTGTTAACCACAAAAGGTTTTCAAGCCAATGGGAACCCTACCATCACAAGAACTAAACCAAAACAGGTGAACAAATACCCTTCAACTTTCTCTCAAACTCTATCCCTTTTTAATCAATTGTTTTTGGGCATGTTAGCATTTGTGCTCTCCTATTTAAGTCACTATCCTAATCTTTGTTAGCCTTTATTTCAATTGTTATTTATTAATTATTTAATTTTATTTAATCTTTCAAATGTCACAAAGAAAATTATATTTAATTTTATTTGTTAATGATTCTCTCTCTCTCTCTCTCTCTCTCTCTCTCTCTCTCTCTCTAACTTGTCAGTTTTCAAAAAAATTCATCATTGCTAGAAATAATCTTAGCACAGATAGGGATATGACAACAGCTCGTTGCATGTGAATCACACATGAACTAGGGTTTTATGTGGCTCCAATCTTGACAGCATACAAGTTTCCCGTGTTTTACATATATGCTTTCTTGGTCCACCATGATCCTTACTTTATTTTCAATTAATTACCCAATTAATAATACTTTTCAACTTATTGTGATTCTCATCATCTGCATTATTCTTAATAAATTATTTTGTTTTCCGATTATTATACATTATTATCCGAGTCAACTAAAAAGCTGAAACGATCTGGTCCAATAATCTATAACCCCTCTCAATTGCCATAATTTTTCCTAATCTAGTCCAATAATCTATATATATAAAGCAAAAGGCAGAGAATGGTGAAACATTCAAAATACCAGAAAATGTCATTGGTTAATTCAAACATTAAGAATTGAAATTATTAATTAAATGAGGATAATATGGTAAATTCACATTTTTTTCATATTAAAACAAAACAAAATTAAAAATAAAATTAGATAATAGGTTATACTTTTATGGAACATAACTACCTACCCATGTTATCTCTTCTTAATTCTAAAAAAAAATTAAAAAAAAATTAAAAACCAATGGCACATGCTCACGCATGTGCCAAGGGGCTAGTATTAAGAACAAAAACTATCTACTAACTGGCATGACTCTCCTAGAGAGACGAAGAATACCTAGTAAACTCAACTAAGTTTCTGGAATCATAATAGAAAAAATAAAAACAGAAAATTCATAGAGTTTATGGGCTTTATTAAACAAAATAAATCAAAATAAAAAACTAAAACAACGCCAGCAAAAGGAAAATCAACTGTTGTTAATCTTCATTCGGGACAAGACATAGACAGTGCCACCTAGTTATTTAGGGCCACAACACACTAATGAGCAGCCTCGCAAGATGATGCACAACTAAAGTCTAGATCTGCTGAAAAAAGAGTAGATCGACATAAGTTCACCAAGACCCGAAGAACACCGAAAATCCGAAGAGATCCAAAAATCCGAAAATCTCTCTCTTTTAGCGGCTAGAGTTTCTCTTCACACTATGATATTAATAAATATTGGTATTAGTGAGATTCTCTACATACATTTGTAAAATCCTATTATTAATATGAACGATCCATTTAATTCTTCATGGGAGATTCCTCATTGACCCGCAAGATTTGCATAGCAGGTTGAATCTGTTGAATTAATGGGTTACAACAAAACCAACCAATAAACTAGTTTATCTAAGATAAAGATGGATCAGCACCAGAAATCATTACAAACTATAAATGTTAAACAAGTATTTGATTCAACGAAGCAGAACCCTCGGTGGCTCATTAGGAAACTCTCATTTGCTTGAAACTGATAGCTGCAAATCTCACCACCTGACATTTGTCTTGCAATAGATTCTTTTCAATATTCTATTCTCAAATTGATGTGCCCTTCCAAACTAAATTCCATATTAGAACGTTGTGGGTACCCACAGTGCAGCATGCTCTTAATATTTTTCAACTCCTAGAGGTTCACAACTTGGACTCTCATTCTCTCTGTGGACCATATTGCACC